AATTGTGGGGCTGGAGTCCTCCTTGAAAGATGTCGTTTCTATTTAGGAGAAGGTGCTGTGGAGTAACTGTTGCAGCTACAAATCCTAAAGAAATAAAATCAGTGAGATAACTGCAAATAGTAAAGACAGTTTGATAACTTGTAATAAATCCTATACCAAACACAACTGGAAAGAATGATGAAAAGAAAACCTAAAAAAGTGGCAAATCTGACCTTCTTTGCAAGACTCAACAAACCTAACAGCATCCATGGTAGTAATGTGCTCCATCACAATCTTCAACTTCGGGAGTCTTTGGATCAAAGGCTGCAAAACTGTGTCGATAAAAACTTTCTCGCGATCAAAAATGTCAACTTTAGGATCTGTGACCTCTCCATGAACCTAGAAAGAAAGAGGCAAAAGAAGGTTCATGCAACACCGTGACCTTCCAATAGGATAACAATACTAAAGCAAAGACCAACAGCTTGGTCCCAGAGAAAGAGGGTCCCTTTGAAGCTGGAAAAGAAATCAGAGTGCTAAAAGGAAAAAAAAAAAGGAAGTAAAGAATCTACAAAGAGAAAAATTCAATCTCACTACCCGAAGAGGTATAAACAAGAACAAGATAATATCAAGTTAGTGAAGAGCAGTTACCAGCAGGGGCATATTCTGCTCGACCATCTCCTCAAGGACAGGTATGCATTTGCCAAACAGGTCAGTAACACCATCTTGAGAATTTGTTGTGGCACCAGCAGGGTACAATTTCACGGCAAAAACAGCACCACTTCTTCCTGTCAATAGAATAAACACTGTTGATGAAACTACGAAAAATAGAACTAAAAGGTCAGAAAGAGGAAATACAAAGAGTAGGGTCCCCATTGATTATAATTATTGTGTAAGTAGCTAGAAATAAAAGATATACTCCCCAAAGAAATGAAGTCTTATATGTAAACACTGCAAATCCATGAGTCAAAGCAAGGGATTTTCATCCAAGAGCTTTTCAGCAGAAAACATTCGGGTATTCCATATGACGTGTTCCAAATTCAGCTTCAAATAGGATCATTAAGATTTCTCCTATTACATAATAACATCAGAATTCTTGCTACTACTAAAAGAAGACAAATGAGAGAATATAATTACTGCTACTAGCCTCAAGAATACCCTGAACTATGAATGAAGCAGAATGAACAGATAATTCTTCAAAAAATGCAATGCGATAAATAGAGGTATTAGAATGTAAAACTGAAGATAGACTTACTTGCAAGCTTGATCTCATCAGCACTTGTGGTATCAGTCAAATACAGTGTCATCAGGGGATTGAAGTTGCTACCAGGAGGCAGAGCTTTCAAGATGGATTCCCTATAAGCCAAGGCAGCTGCTGTGGTAGAGATGGGAGGCTTCAAATTCGGCATCACAATAGCTCTCCCAAAATGATGCGCACTGCAGCCATGATATCTTTAGATCTTACACAGGATTAAAAAAAAAAAATCAATAAATTCATGGGTAATACAGAAAAGTAAAAGAAGAGAAATTCACCTGTGAGGTAGAACAACTTGAAGAAGATCACCATCGCGGAGGTGAAGATGCCAATCATCTGGTTGGGTGAGAGTAAGCTCCATCTTCGTCCCCCTGCACTTCACTTGCCTGCTACACCCATCAAGTCTTGAACTTGGGAACTTCAATGCATGAAATACAACAAAAATAATTAAAAAAAATACGTCTAAATAAAATAAAATAAACCCAAATCTAACTCAGATGTAAAAGTCTTCAAGGGTTTTTAAAAATATGGTTATGGAATCCAACCCATTGTGAGAATAAATAATATGCCTACACTGCAAGGATTCACCAGGCTCTTTATCATTCTAATGCTACAGGAGAACTTCTCTTCGTCGTCTGATAATTACTCCCTTCTCCGTCATCAAAACATTACAAATAATTTAAAAAATTAAAAATTCAGGAAAAAAAGGACCAACTTTGAATAATCTTTCAAAGAAAATAAAAGTGGAAATTTCTATATTGGATTAACCAAGGGAGAAGGAACAAGGCGATGAAGAATTCGGTGCGAGAGTAAAAATGGCAAAACGGCCGACCCACCTGTTACTCTGCCAACCGGGTCGGATAGTTAAGGTGTGGCCAACCGGCTCCACTGATCGCGATGACATGTACGAATTCAGTCAGTCCAACTCAATTTATAATTAAAAATAATTTTAAATTTTTTTATTAATTTAATTAATTAATCAATATTAAATTTTAAAATATTTAAATAATTTATAATTATTTTAATTTTATTTTAAAAATAAATAATAATTAAAAAATAATTGATTTAGCAGAAGTAGCATTAAAGTAAAAAGAAAGTTGTAATATCTAGTCATAGAATTTAGACCGGAATTAATTTTAACATTTTAAATAAATAAAAAATTTATTTTTAAATTAATTTATTTTAATTTTTGTTGAATTTATGGAAAAAAATAGGTTATGAATGAAATTGAAAATAATTTTGAGAAAAAAGGGTGAAATTTTGGATTCGGGAGGTGTTTTTGAAAGAAAAATCAGAAACTGGAAGTCAGAGTACAAATAAGAAAAAATTTGTCACGTAAGATTGCCCAGTCAATAACCCCGACGAACCGAAGTACGCCGCATGGTAAAGTATGTTGACGTCGGAGCCACAGGGGATGCCACGCGAGCGATTCGCATGCCCCGCGATCGAACGACCCAAGATGGATCCTGCGCGTGTGGACGGCCCATATTTATTCATCCTTTAAATGCGATCGGACAGTTGAGTTCAAATCGCGATGAATGGTTCAATTTATTTTTTCCTTAAACGCGATCGGACAGTCGATGTCAAACATGATGAACGATCCAGATTTATTTCAGCGCGATCGAACGGTCGAGATCAAACACGATAAACAGTCCAGATTAATGCGAGATAAGTACAAATATTTCGCATCACACTGAACCCAAACCCTAGCCACTAGCTTCCCGTAGGAGGAGAAGAACCAGTCGCCAGAGAAGGAAGCTGACCGCCGACTGCCGTTGCACCAGAACCACCTCCAACCGCTGCCACACTAGAGCCACCTCCGACTGCTAAAAAAAGTAAAAATTCTGTTACCCACTTAGAATTCGATTCCAAGCACCCCTGTGGCCATATCGGAGCAAAACGAATAATGGATGAGCCGAATACTGCGGGTAAAGTCCGACGATGCTACAACAAGCAAAACCTACAACTTCCTCCGATAAGCCCCTTCCCGTTTTCTATTTCGTTTGATTTTTCCACCATTGTGTTCATTGTTCTGTTTTCTACAAGTTAACTGAAGAAAATATTCTAGTCGCGAAGGTGAGTCGGCGAAGCCGCTGCACCTGGAGAAAATCTCACCACCGGTAGGTTTTCGTTTTCTAATTTTTTTCAGCCAACTGAGATCCCTTAACGTGTTTTTCCATAGGGATATGTATAAAGGCGGCCGAAAACAGCTAGGCCAATGCAAACCACCGTTGTGGGTAGTGGTGCCATCGCTGGAGCATGGCAGTGCCGCCGTGCCAGAACCTTGAAATTGGTCGGAAAATATTTTTAACACTGATTTTGGGTTTTTGGGGGTATTTTTAGGTACATGAAACGTATTTTAATATCTGTAGAAAAATTCAGAAAATCTAGGGACCGCTAGTAGGTGCAATAAAAAGTCCGGTATTTCGGACATCGATTTAGGTAAGGATCTCTCATACTTTTCTCTGTTATGATAAATTGAGCCTTAATAATTAATAATTGTGTGTTTTTATGAAAAATTAGAGAACCTTAAAAATAATTACAAGTCATTAGTAGAGATAGAACTGGTTAGTTCATAGTCATTTTGATTTCTTATTTATTTTTCTATATTGCTTATATTTGGTTATTATTATACTAGTGTAACTTAATTGATGATTTTTAGGGTCTTTTTGGTTATTTTGGTATTTGTTTCCCCTGTATTGTGTGTCGGTATTTCGATCATTGGTTATTTGGCTCCACAAAAGTGAGCCGGTAGAGCCGCCGCATCAGAAAAATTTCACAACCGGTAGGTTTCTATTTTTTGATTTTTTTCCGCCAACCGAAGCCCCATAACGTGTTTTTTCACAGGAATATGTATAAAGACGGTCGAAACTGGCCAAATCAGCCGAAAATGGCCAGGCCAAGGTAAACCACCATCGCAGGCAGTGGTGCTATCGCTGGAGCACGGCGGTGCTGTTGTGCCGGAACTCCGAAATTGGCCGAAAAAGATTTTTAACATCGATTTTAAGTTTTTTGAGGTATTTTTAGGTACGTAAAGTGTGTTTTAATATCTGTAGGAAAATTCAAGAAACCTAAGAACCGCTAGTAGGTGCAGTAGAAAGTCTAGTGTTTCAGACACCGATTCAGGTAAGGATCCCTCACTCTTTTCTCCGTTACGGCAAATTGAGACTTAATAATTAATAATTGGGTATTTTTATTAAAATTAGAGAACCTTAAAAATAATTACAGGTCATTAGTGGAGCCTGAACTGGTTAGTTCATGGTCGTTTTAATTTCTTATTTATTTTCTTGTATTGCCTATATTTGGTTACTATTATATTAGTGTAACTCAATTGATAATTTTTAGGGTCTTTTTAGTAATTTGTTTTCTCTGCATTGTGTGCCAGTATTTCGATCATTAGTTATTTGACTGTGTTAAACTATATTGTTGTCTAAGTGAACTGTGAGTATAAAATGAGATATGATTATTGCATAGTTGCCTGTGATACTGATGGAAATATGTATGGAAAAGACTTACTGGGTACCCGAGAAAGGGCAGACAGGCTTGGTACATAAGGAACTCTACCGTGAACGTTGCCTCAGTCGAACGGGGTGGAAAGTTCCTTACTAGTAAGGTTTGGGAGATATGGTTCACATTTATACCAGACGGGATATCGAGGTGGTGGAATGTTTGGCGCCCATTACCAGACGGGGTATGAGAATGACCGGTTAATTGTTTAATTGGATATTGGGTTCACAAGTAGGAGGATATCCCTATGGACCCTAGGGTACCGGTAAGTGAAAAAAATATAAAATGATTGTTTCTTCTTATCTTATATATGATAAATAACAGTGCATGAATATAAGTTTTTATAAGTTATTGTTGGGAAAGACTTATTACACAAATATGGAATAAATGGTTTTTTTTTTATAGTAAATAAATTTACATTAAATTAAGGGTTCCAGTGGTTGTTTTTCTGATTTTTACCAATCTTCAGTTTTCCATATATGTGATTAGTGTGATATATTCTTACTGTACTAGTGTAGCTCATCCATTCATTAACTATTTCAGATCAAGAGGACCAAGATCCAGATTCCGATCAAAAAGAGGGTTGTGAATAATTCACCACCTAGACTCTCTTCAAGAGCTAGTGAAGGTTGTCCTAGGATTGCTTAGTTATTTGTCTTTCGTTTATTTATTTGATTTTCATTTGTTCTTTTAGAAAAGGTATTCTCGTATCCCTATTAAACATTCTAAATTATTATGTAAGGAATGTAAACCCTAACTCTATTATTTCGCTTCCGCATTTAATTTATGATTTTATTTTTATTTAAGTTACGAGCCTTTACAGTTGGTATCAGAGCCACATTTTTTGGAACCATTCCTTTCACAAAGACCTAAGGAAACACAAAAAAAAAAAATGAATTATCGCTCAATCATTCCTTGTGAAATGCAGGTATAGATAGATGAGGAGAGGAAGACCCCCACTAAACCGAGCAGTCCGAGAGGGTTCGCTTTGAGAGGATGTAGACCGACTATTTGAAATGCTGGAGAAACTCATCACTGCCCAGCAGGCTCGGGAGGAAAGGAAAGAGCTACTTGACCATCCCTCACTGTTACAGTTTGAGCCACCCCTATAGCGGGAGGATCCTGAGCCACCCTGATATAATCCTACTCCTCCACAGTACCATCCGGCACCACCACAGTATAATCTGGTGCCCCTCACTGCATCACTTGGTACCACGACAGTACAATCCAGTACCTCCACCGTATCATCCAGTACCACCACTGGGCCATCCAGTCCCTCCCTAGCATAATCCAGTCCGTCTTCCATGGGACCCAGTTCCACCCATGATGGACGCAGTCTACATTGAGTGGTACAAAGGACTAAACCCATCTACTTTTATAAGGGCATACTCCTTTGAAGAGACTGAGTACTGGTTAACTCATACAGAGAATGCTTTTACGACTCTTGGGGTGGTTATCGAACAGAGAGTTATACTTGCCACCTATATACTGATGGGAGAGGCAGGTCGCTAGTGGCAACTCAAGCAGACCACCCTACCCGTTCCAATTACTTGAGAACAGTTCCTGATGGCTTTCAATGTAGAGTAGCTCCCAGAGCATCTCCGACATCTGAAGAAAATGGAGTTTGCACACCTAGTCTAGAGTGATATAACTGTGTCAGAGTATATCCGAAAGTTCTTAGAGTTGGGCCGATATTCTCCTGAGAACATGATGGATGAAGGTAGAAAGGCAAGAAAGTTCGAGTGGGGCCTTCGTCTTGATATTAGACAGCAGCTGTATGTGTTCAAGCTCAGTACTTACTCAACCATTCTGGCCAAGGCATAGATAGTAGAGAAGAATCTTCGCATTTTTCCTTTAGTAATGGGGAACCTCACGCCCCAGGTTTCACTCTGCAGACCAGGACCCACTGCACCTGTTCAGCAGAACAATAAACCTAGGCTAGTGACTCAAGTTCCTCCTTAGATTCTGATAACAGGATGCGGTAGGACTTGCCAGTACTGTGGCAAGGATCATAGGGACCGACCCTACTATCGCCTAAAAAATACTTACCGTATATGTGGAAGTGTCCAGTACTACACGAAAGAGTGTCTAAGGAATCAGAATCAGGCCAGACCTCCTATCTATGGCAAAACTTATAACCTCATTCAGCAAGATGCAGAAGCCAACTCAGACATGATACAAGGTACGTACATTATCCGTAATCATCTTGCACATGTTTTGATTGATACTGGTGCCTCACATTCATTTGTCTCACATGCTTTTACACCAAGCTTGAATGTGTTACTTGAAAGATTTGATTCTGTATTGTTTGTGTATACTCATG